GCAGTATTCGTCCCTATTGCTCCACCACAACGCACAAAGATGGGACCTCAAAGAAGGTTAGGGATATATGTTGGCTATGAATCTCCTTCTATAATTAAGTATTTAGAACCATTAATAGGAGATTTGTTTACAGCACGTTTTGACGATTGTCATTTTGATGAGACAATTTTTCCAATATTAGGGGGAGATAATAAGCAGCTGGATAAAGAAATTATATGGAAAGCATTATCATTATCTCATCTAGATCCTCGTACACAACAATGTGACCTTGAAGTTCAAAGAATAATTCATTTGCAAAACATTGTAAATCAATTGCCAAATGCATTTACTGATCCTAAGAGAATTACTAAATCTCACATTCCAGCTGAAAATGTGCCAATTAGAATTGATGTCCCAGCAGGACAACTAGAAAGTGCAAGTGAAATCAAACCACGCCTGAAGCGGGGTAGACCAATCGGTTCCAAAGATAAAACTCCTAGAAAGAAAAAAGGAGCAAATAATCATGATGGTCATGATAGTCAAATTGAGGAGGCAAGTCCTATAGGAGAGGACCGAAACATAACTAATCAAAAGACCTCAGAGGAGGCTCAGGTACCTGAAAACAATGAAGAGATCTCGATAAGTTATATTACTACAGGAAAAAGATGGAACCGAGAGAACACAGTTGTTGACAATATGTTTTCATATAATGTTGATGTTGAAATAATTAATCAACATGAGGATCTTGAACCTACATCAGTTGAAGAATGTAGACATAGAGATGATTGGCCAAAATGGAAAGATGCAATTCAAGCAAAGTTAAATTCACTTTCAAAGCGTGAAGTTTTTGGACCTGTAGTCCATATACCAAATGGTGTGAAACCAGTTGGATACAGATGGGTCTTCATGCGCAAACGAAATGAAAAAAATGAGATTGTTAGATATAAAGCACGGCTTGTAGCACAAGGATTTTCACAAAGACCTGGTATTGATTATGAAGAGACATATTCTCCTGTGGTGGATGCAATCACTTTAAGATATATAATTAGTTTGACAGTCCATAGAAAACTTGAAATGCGTTGATGGATGTTGTTACGGCATATATATATGGTTCTTTAGATACTGAGATTTATATGAAAGTCCCTGAAGGATTTAAATTGCCAGAGGCATGTAAGAATTCTCGAGAAAATTATGCAATTCGTTTGCATAAATCCTTATATGGATTAAAACAATCTGGAAGAATGTGGTATAACCGACTTAGTGAATATTTGTTGAGAGAAGGTTATAAAAATGATCCAATTTGCCCATGTGTTTTTATAAAAAGAAATGGATCAGAGTTTGTTATAATTGCTGTCTATGTGGATGATTTAAATATAATTGGAACTCCTGAAGAGCTTCAAAAAGCAGTTGATTGTTTAAAGAAAGAATTTGAAATGAAAGATCTTGGAAGAACAAAGTTTTGCCTTGGCTTACAAATTGAGCACTTGGCCAATGGAATTTTCCTCCATCAATAAACTTATATTGAAAAAGTATTAAAGCGATTTTACATGGATAAGGCACATCCGTTATCTACTCCTATGGTTGTAAGATCACTGGATAAGGATAAAGATCCTTTTCGTCCTCAAGAAGATGAGGAAGAACTTGTTGGTCTTGAAGTACCATATCTTAGTGCCATAGGTGCATTAATGTATCTTGCTAATTCAACACGACCTGATATTGCATTTGCTGTTAGTTTATTAGCAAGATTTAGTTCTTCCCCAACAAGAAGGCATTGGAATGGAATTAAGCATATATTTCGATATCTTCGAGGAACAATTGATATGGGATTATTTTACTCTAATGAATTAGAATCACAATTAATTGGCTATGCAGATGTAGGATTTCTATCAGATCCACATAAAGGCAAGTCTCAAACAGGATATTTATTTGTTTGTGGAGGTACAGCTATCTCATGGCGTTCAACAAAACAAACTTTATCGGCTACCTCATCAAATCATGCGGAAATAATTGCAATTCATGAGGCAAGTCGAGAATGCGTTTGGCTGAGGTCAGTGACTCAACATATTCAAAAAATGTGTGGTTTTTCCCTTGAACAGAAGATTCCAACAGTATTATATGAAGACAATACGGCATGCATAGCTCAATTAAATGGAGGATATATCAAAGGAGACAGAACAAAACATATTTCTCCAAAGTTCTTTTTCACTCATGATCTTTTGAAAAGTGGTGATATAGATGTTCAACAAATTCGCTCATGTGACAACCTTGCTGATTTATTTACCAAGACACTGCCGACTAGAACATTTGAGAAGTTAGTGTATGGTATTGGAATGCGCAGACTTAAAGACTTAAAATGATGTTATCATTAGGGGGAGTAAATATTGTGTACTCTTTTTCCTTCACTGGGTTTTTGTCCCAATGGGTTTTTCCTAGTAAGGTTTTAATGAGGCACAATACTCATTATGGACATCCAAGGGGGAGTGTTATGAATATTGCATGAGTGGATGTCCATAACCCCTAATCCTTAGAATTCTCATAGGATTCCTTACCTTCAAGTGTCATAAACTACATAACCTCCCTAATGAATGACTTGGGAGGAGTTTCTCATTGTTAATGCCATTATAATATTCTTTATTCCTTTGTAACCTTAGTATAGGACTTCAATGCTTGGAGGCCTATAAATAGAGGGCATGCATGAGGCATTTGTACCTTGAACCAAAGTGAATGAGAAAAGGCCATTGTCTTCTCTATCTCTTGCTTTCTTTTCTACTCTTCATTCTCCTTATTTCTTGTAGTTTTACAACACTGGCAAGATTTAGAGAAAACTGATGTACTTAGCCTTGTGTATCTAATACTATTCCCACTCCGGTCATAAATATAAGACTTTATTTGTAGATAAATGAGATCTTATAATTAGAATTGGAGGTAATATTTTTTTTCTAATCAAATCAAAATAGGCAGATTTTAAAATGTTAATAATATAATGGCAAAAAAAATGTTCATAATATTACTAATAAGGATTTGTTATAAATAAATAATATATAAAAATTTCACATTTCTTGGTGCCTCTGTGGGAGTCCGATGAAAAATTAATTATCTATCAAAACATTAGTTTTGGTTTTTCTTTTTTATTGAGTGAATTAGTTTTGGTTTATTTGATTGGGAACAAACACTTTAAATATATAATATTAAGAATATAAGCTTTTTGTGATCTATATATTATATGATTCCAGTAAATAGTAATGCAACTGCCATTCAGCTGCTAAAATATTCCACTTATTTAAACTCATACACACCTCAGAAAAAAAATAAGGGAAAATGATCAGAAAATGACTGTTCAAATTTAAAATAACAAAAAAAGTATACAAATAACTGAAATCTCCAAATGGGCCTGAGATATGAATATGAGATTTTCAAATTTGGTTAAACTAAAATGCCTTCAATTTTTTCAGGAAAAAACAAAGTGTGCATAATCGAATAGTCTTCAACGGAACTGCAACCCAAGTTTCCAGGTCTCCACTAGCTGAAACTGCGAAGCTAGGGTTCTCCTAAGTCTCACATTGTTATTGTTGAGGATACTATCAGTGAGGAATGTGCATAGTATCTGTGAGAAGCTTAATCACAAAAAGTGGGGTCACAGTAAAAACCAATAAACTAGTGAGAAGCTTCAATCTTCTTCTTTTCCGCAAAGCATTTCCAATTGCTCCTTTAAATTTTGATCGTCGCAATTATGGGTACCTCAAATTCTAAGATTCCGAGTAGGTTTGAGAGTTCATTACGTGATTATTGTATGCTCTGCTCTATGTATTGCTCGTTATTACTGTTCGCATTCTTTGTAAAGCTTGATTATTGTTTGCATTTTTCTATCCTATAATTCATCTCTTTGAAGTTCGCATGGTTTTTTTTTTTATTGTATCCTCTCACTTTGGCTCTTCTATAGTTTAATACTTATGCTTGAATGCATTAATATGCAACTCTACTATAGAAATATCGACTATGTTATGTTGAAAATTTGGGGAGTAAAACTGCCCTTTAATAGTCACATTTTCCCTTCCGCTCTTCATTTTCCCTCTACATGTTGAACGTAGACAGCCAAACCACAAAACCTCTAGTGTCCCTCTCCATGCTGAACATTGGTAACCAAATTAAAGGAGGTGCTAATTGAAAAGAGAAAATAACATAGCTAATACCCTGTATCCTTTCTAATTAGAAAAAAATCATGTGATCTATTCTACTATCACGTGAGTTTTTGCATTTTGGTTAGTCATCCTCAACTATCAGGTGAGGTCACTGAAGTGGTGAGAAGCGTCAATCGTATTGCTGTCATGGAGGAGGTCGGTGAAGTAACTCTGACTGCAACAAATAGTAATATCCAGTTGTAGTAGCAATTGAGTGGTTGAGTTTTGATAGCTTGCTAATATTAGTATTCATTTGGGATGGATTTTGATCAATTTAAAGTGCCATTCATAGCAAAATCAAAACCTTCGCAATATTATTGTAACAATTTAACTTTGGATTTTGATTCTTTAAATTGTACTATAGCAATTATGCAAGAGCAAATATTAGATTACATCCAAGGATAATATATTAGATTGTTTGTAGTTAGTTCTTAAAGTGTATTATATTGTTAGTCTCTATTTTTTGCTCTATTTTGATAATTCAGAAAGAAATAATAACTTTCATTATGTGATCAGTAAATTTGGTTATCTAAGTAGTAAATAGTCGGGGTTAGTTTTGTGGTTAAATAACAATAGTTAGGATATGAATGACTATATTTGCATTGATAATGACAACTTTTTTGAAAGGCAAAAAAAGTTGAAATCTTAAACTAACCAGATTTAGTTATTCATTGTGTACCATAATTGTTAAACTGAACATTTTGCATCTTGTTTTCATTAGCAAGCATCCTATATATTTGTTGTAACCATATGCTTGTTGTAGAAGAAGAGCCAAGTGAAGAAGTAAAGAATGGGTACATGTTTAAAAAATAATTTCTTAAGGTGAGGAGGAAGTTTAAGAATATGTTCAAACAAGTGACAAAGGCATCAAAGGCATGGAAGCAGCTGACACTAAAGGAGCAGAAGAAATATAATGATAAGGTTAAGCAATCAAGAAAGGAAGGGATGAAGAAGAAGAGGAAGAAAAAAGTTGCTTTTAGCACTGTTGCTCAGTTCGACAATTTCAGTCATTAGTGGACTTTATAAATAATGATGAAAGTTTGAAAGTCAAGGTAAAAATTTAGGATTCTCCAATTTGCTTCACATTGGATGTGAGAGACTCCCTCGTGATCTCATAATATGTATGCTTTGATCATATGAACTGCCTACCCATCAATTTATAATAAGAGGGAAAATAAAGGAAATAGAAGCAAAAGATGTTACAAACTTGCTGGGTGTACCCCACACAGGAGAGAAGGTAAAAATAGACATATGTAATGATGATGAAACTTACCAGAGGTTGAAGAAGGAATTTGGTAAAGTCTCTTATACCAAGATACTCAATGACATTGAGTAGAAGAAAGATGACTTTGAGTTCTTGTTTATGTTGTACATACATAGGAGTTTTTTAACTCCTACTTCGCAAATAACTGTGAGTGACAAGCTAATAAGAGTCATGTGTTGTACCATGAAGGGATTTCACCAATTTGATTGGGCCACGTATATTGTCAACCACTTGTGGAAAGAGATGGGAGATTATGTGAAAATATATGCAAAAGCAAAGGAAGATGAAGATGAAGATGAAGATGAGGGAAGTTGCAATGTGGGCGGATGCATCTACCTCTTGTTGGTATGCATTTGTTACCTATGCTTTTTATTTATTGTTTTCTTTATTTGAGGAATTAGGAAGTTAATTATTTACTGTTGCAGTTATATTTTGCTGAGCATTTCCCACTGATGAAATCTGTTAAATGATGGTCCATAAATGCTATTCAATTATGGACTGATCAGAGGATAAGGAAGCTAAAAAAGAAAGAGAGGGAAAGCATCAGGGGTTTATTACACAAGGGGAAGGGAACTACGAATAGAAATGAGAAGGATGAAAGAAAACATAAAAGTGTGGCTCATTTATAGCTAGTTTGTGTTTCTTTAGTAATTTTCATTCACATTAGCAAATAATGTCATGAAAAAAGTGTCTACTCATTTTGAATAATTTCATGCAGGAGTTGCAGAACTTGCATGGACGACTGATGGCTTTGATCGAATTAAGCAAACAAAAGGCTTATCAGTGCAATAAAAGATGAGCTACCTAAGGTGCAGATAAAGATAGAGAAAAATAATTTTATCAGAGATGATTAGCCTATTAAAGACCGAGATGATGCATTTGGTGATAAGGACCCTAATGATCATGATGGACATGAGTCTGATCAGCAAGATGATGATGGAGATGGGTCAGATCAGGAAGATGATGATAGACATGACTCAAATGAGGGTGATGATAAGGGAGATGATGATGGAGATGACTCAGATAAGGGTAAAGAGATAGGTGTTGAAGTAGAAGGAGTAGAAAAAGGAAATATGGATTCTCCCCTGCCCCTTTCCCCTATGGACAGGGGATTTCAACTCAGGAGATCACGAAGAAAGATGAAATCGGCTATAAATTCTCTATGGCTTTTGACAAAGCCAATTAAGAGGAGAAAGAGGACCGTGGATGACAAGGACCGGTTTTTTGACATAATTTCCCGTATGTGTTCAAGTAAGGAGGGTAACAAGTAAGTACATATTCACTACCCACATAATGATATTCATTACAGTTTTGTACTAATTGACTACATGCATAATGATATTAACAACATATTTTTAGGCCTTTGGTTAAAATCTCTGATGAAAATATTACTCGGGATCAGCTAAGGACACTTAGGGGGTGTTTGGATAAGCCCAAACCATGGTTTGGAGAATAGCTTCTGGAGAATAGATTATGGGAAGAATAGATTTTGAAAGAATAGATTTTCTGAAAAAGTGATTCTGATAAAGTAAGAGTGTTTGGATAGTTGTTGTTAGAAGTGCTTTTTTATATGTAAAAATTACTAAAAAGGACATAAATTTAAATGATAATTACATATAAAATATATTTCATAATATATGTTTATTTGAAGTAATAATTTTTTTAATAATATATATTTTGGTAACATAATAAATAAGACATAAATAATATGAATAATAAATAATTAATGTGTATATATATTTATAAAATAATTACAATATTTTTAGGAAAATGATTTATTTTGCTAATAAAAAATATTATTATTTATTAAAGAGTTTAAACATGAATATTATTTTGCCAATAAAAATATTATTATTTATTAAAGTACTCCCAAGCTTCGAGCTTTCCCTACTTCCTTCCTTATCCCCCTTCTATTCATCTTTCCTATCTTTACAGCTTTGTCGTACTTTGTGCTTGTCTGTTTCTTCTGATTTCTTGCAGTGAAGTCGCTCTATTTGATAAACAACAAAAAACAAAGTCACTCTGTCTCCTTCGTTGAACCCTCACAGCATACTGCTGGCAACGATAATGGACTACACACCGCCTCCGTTTGACGACGGCTTCACTACCGAGAAGCTATTCTGCCAAGGTTACTCCTACACTTATAACGACGTCATTTTCCTCCCTCACTACATTGACTTCCCTACTGATGCCGTTCAGCTTGCTACTAGAGTCAGTCATAATGTGCCTCTAAATATCCCCCGTGTCGCTTCTCCAATGGACACCGTCTCCGAAGCTCACATGGTCGTCGCCATGGCTGCCCTTGGTGGTAGCGCTTTTATCCACTCTAATACGACGCCGTCCGATTAGGCTGCCATGGTACGTTCCGCTAAGTCGTGCCGAGTGCCGATTCTCTCCAGCCCTGTCTTCAAAGCACCCTATGGGAGGATTGAGTCGTTGGATGATTCTGGCAACTCACCGACGGCACAGCACGAATGGGAGAAGAGGCGACGGCACAGGACAAGAGAAATCTTCAGAAGGGGCGACAGAATGGGAGAAGAGAAATGAGAGAAGAGGTCTTCATTGAGTGGGAGCTACTGATAGGAGTAATAATTACTCCAACGACTATTTGTTACTCCTCAAAAGCTACCCCCGCGTGCTTGTCCCAAACCAAGGTTTTGCCAGAAACCTTGGTTTTAAAAAAAAAGGGGGGGTGTTTGGCTTTTTTGCCAAACCATGGTTTGGCAAAAAATTTGCCAAACACCCCCTTAGTAGAATTGAGAAAATAGGTAACCAGGTATGTATAATATTTATGATCAGGTGATTTAATTATTTAATTGATGATGTGTTTTAGGTTCATCAAAACTATCATTTCTTTGCATACAACTGATGTCAATTGTGTGCAAGACATTAATAGCTGATATGAACAAGGAAGGACAAGTGAAGCGGCATATTTTTAATGCTGACTTTATGGTAAGCTTCCTGATATAACAGTTTTTTGTGGATTGATGTTGATAAATACTAACATGTTTATGTTGTAGGCAATAATGGCTACTAACCCCAATAGCTGGGATGCGAGAAAAAAAAAGAATCAATTTTTACCTGAAAATTAAGTTACAACATAGGAGAATGTGATTTGATCTTTGGACCCATACTTGTTGGCGTTCACTAGTTCTGTGTTGTGCTTGAGCCTAGCACAAGGAATTTCTATGTGCTGGACTTAATGAAGCCAAATTTAGAGGGTAAGAAGAAGAGTAAGAAGAAGGGTGTAATTGATGATGACATGATGACCGTGATCACTGGATGTGTAAGGACAATGTAACTCATCTTGTATTATTGTCATTTCATTTACCTTGTATTTACAAATGCAACTCTATATTGTACAGAGGAATCAATTTTATGACATTATTGACATAGTTAAGCCTAATGCTACTGGGAAGAAGAAAATGAGTGATATCATTTGGGCTCCTGCTCCGTAACAAAACAATCTGTGAGTGGTTTATGTTGTTGATATTATAACATGTCAATGTAGCCAAATGTGTTTTTTTTTTATTCATTTACATTGTTGGAATGTTTTGATGTACAACCCAATGTGTATTTAATGTCACAACTATTACTATCTACACCAAACCATTCTCCTATCATAACCCTCAAATCTTCAAGCCTTATACGCTCATTTATCACTCTTACCCTAACTGTTTCACGATTGTACTTAACTTCACCTTCACCATTTTCTACAAAGTTCCCACCCACATGAAAATAACAAGCAAGACACTTTAAAGATGTTGACCCAATGTTAGATGTGATCAAAGCTTACTAACCTGTAGCAAAGAAGCATAAATCAATATTTTAGTTCCCCAATGATCAATTTCATCTATCTTCCGAAACACCCAAAAAATGCACACACCCACTTCCTCCATTGACAACTTAAATATAGGATTTCACAATTCTACTAATGAATTTAACAACACTGACCAACTCATGCTTACTGTTTGTCCTCAAACTTCATGCCCATGTTATCAGTTGCTACCATTTTCTATTTCTGATGTGTCACTCTCTCATCCCGGTCAAAGTCTTCATCAAAACCCTCTACACTCACAAGCCCATCCCCATTCGAGCATGCAGCAGCAAAGCGAGTTAAGAATCCAAACCCATCATTAACCTCAACTCTCTTATGTAATACCCACGTTCAACCCCTCTTTTACTACAAACCAGCTTGTCCACAAGCAAAATCCACCGTAATAAATCAGGTTTGCAGAATGGTGATAGTTGGAGGAATACGATACTAGCATTTTAATAGAAAAATTACTTACCTTTTTCCTCTTTCCAGATTTCCACTCTTGCTCCAAGCCTCCTCTTCTCAACTCTCTCTCTCTCTCTCTCTCTTCTAGAGCTTTTACGTGTCTTGTCTTGAGCTCATGTGTTTAGAAGTGTTCAGGGGTGTTTTAGTCTTTATACCAAATTGTAATAATTCCATATTCATATCTCAGGCCCATTTAGTGATTTCAGTTATTTGCATACTCTTTTTGTCATTTTAAATTTGAACAGTCATTTTCCCAAAAAAAATATGTCGTCACCCATTCAATGTTATGCCAATAATTCAACTAAAATAAAAGGTAATATAAATTGAACAGAGGCGAAAAAACATTATACTACATCCATATAAGAGCTCATTTGACTTTTATTTTGATACTAAATACAAGACCCCAATCCATTTTGTCTATCATATTTATCTTTTTTTTTCAAGGTAGTCCTTATAATAATAGTAGTTCTAGGCCAATACACTTGATTAGCAAAGATATTTTAAAAAAGATAATACTTATTTATTACAAATAACTAACTTAACTAGTTTTTATAATCTACTCAAATTACTCAACTAGCTCTTGTATTAAGGGCCAGAGGTAGTAATACTTAATTTACAAGGCACTTTTTTTTTTGCCAAAGCAAATTTTTATTGAATAAGGAAAATATACAAGGCACATTTCATATTTTTAACAGTGCGTCTTAAAATATTTAGATACTCCTCCGGTCCTTAATATAAGACTCATCTAATTAATTTGATTAGATTAAGGAAGTTAGTTAAATTAGTTAATTATAAGAAATGTGACACGTTTTTCCGAAAATACCATAATTATCTTTCTTAATACCCCTCTTCCTCTTCTACTTGATTATAGTTGAGGGAGTATCCATAGGGGTAATTTAGAGAAAACTGATAAATATAAAAAGTGGGTCTTATATTTAGAATCAAAACTAACTCAATAATTGGGTCCTATATTAAGGACCGGAAGAGTATGTTATTTTTACACAACAAATTGAGAATATCATTGTTATAATCCCACCCTTTTTCTTATTGGTCTACAATCCCCACCCTGGTTGAAGCTTCGTCAAAATATTTTAGGTAAATTGAATGTCACTTTTTTAACATTTTTAAATTTAAATTTAATCTCTTTAATCTAGCAAAAATAACTAACCTCCTTAAATTTTTAATTTTTAACATTAAACCTCATGCTACTGCTTTTACCGTTAGATTATTGATAAAAATTGCCGCGTTATATTAATGAAAATTATGTTACCTATGACATGGATAAAAAAATTTATGCCATAATATACAACATTGAATTCTAATCATTTAAAATTTGATCCCATAGTTGGGAATTTGAGATGGAAAGTGGAGCGGATATTCTTTTTTTTTTTCTAACGGTAACTAGAGTCGATAATATGATTCAACCCGTGAATCACTAATCTCTGTGTCGTACAAGATCTCAAATTAATTAACTAAATTAACCCTATATAGTATAAAAGTCAACCTAGGTCGTCTCTCTCTATGAGAAGCTTTGTTAAAATTTTGAAAACATTTTTAATTAAGAAAAAGGTGATGTTGATGAGGAAGTAGTAGGAAAGAAAATTGATTGATTTTTTTAGAAAAATAAATTAAGAAAAATGAAAGGGAAATAACAATAATTAAAAGAAAGCAAAAGGAAAAAAAACTTTACCAGAATGATGCACTTCTCAAGGACGTTGGTGAGTAGCTATCACAGTTCAAAAGGATGAGGAGTTTGTATAAAAACAATTACTAAGTCAAAAAGAAAAAACCCTAGATAACATCTAAGTCGTGATTAATTAATTAATAATTATATCTAGAGAGCTGACATATAATCATCTTTCAATTAATCATTTAAAAACCACTTAGATTGTGAATTCAATTAAACAATTATATCTTGTTTCTTGAAGAGAATTATCTATCAAAAACCCTAAAGCATAAACTACTTGTGCAAATCAAAATAGAAATTTA